TTAATAAATAAATATTTTCAATTTTATTTGTCACTTTATTCTCTCGCCTTCAACTAAAAAGGGCCTAATGACATTTAATATTTATGAACGTTCTTTGTCTTTTCAATCCTCTTAGGATAATTCGTCTAACACAGAAATAACTATAATGTCTTGAAGTTTTTTGTAACATTGTAAAATTTATTTAATGTTTTGCATAATTTTATAATATTTTTCATCGACGGTTTGAGGTTGAAGCATAGTTGATGTTGAATTTAAAGAATAGACTACTGGATAGATAACTTGATATATATATATATATATATATATATATATATATATATATATATATATATATTTCTCTTCATTCCTCTTCTTATTTACTCAAACAGGAGAGGATCGAAATTTTCCCATCCCTTTGCCTTCCTTGCCTTTTCCCCCTTTCTCATCACAATTCTTTTTCCAAACAAACCGTGTTAAACTTAAAAATAGACACTGAACAAAGAAATTTATCTCAATTGAATTCTAGAAAAGATAAAGTTTATCCTCGTTAGATATCTAAAGTTTAAAAAATTCTCAATTGAGTTATTTATATATTTTACATATTTTTATTATAATATCAATATTCTTAAGAAACAACATCGTTTTCGTACAGTTTGGATAGAACATGCCTAAAAGTGTACATTGATGGTTGGATCAGCTCATGAGCAACACCAAAACAAAACAATGATTGTTATGCTTGGGATGATACATCGATAAATTGTGATTGACTATGTTAAAATCTTATAGTATTTGATCCAGCTTGCAAATGAAATTAAAAAAATAGGACTAAAGTCCACGAGCCTCCTAATAAACTAAAAAGAAAAAATTAACAAATTTGAATTATTACAAAATAGCATAATAAATTTGGATTGGACTACATGACCGATTCACATCAGTGTGGTTGATGGTGATGATGATAATGGTAGAATAATAGATTGATGGTAGTGGTAACAATGACGGTGGGTTATAATGATAGTAGCAGCAATATTGTCAATAGTAGAGGTTGTGGTGGCAAGGTGATGTGAAAATGTTTAGATGTTATTATTATTGGACTGTTTGTAGAACATTTTATGAAATTTTATGAGTTAAAAATATTTTTCAACAAATGAATTAAATTTAAAAATTTACTTTATTTCTATAAAATATTTTTTTACAAAAAACAAACACAAAAGAAAATATTGTTTGTAAAATATTTTACAAAAAACAAATTATAGATTAATTTCAAGCCCACACTTAAGTATTGAAATTTACATTTTTGGTCTGGCTAAAGAAATTCTGCTTCTCTATTTAGATCCTTAATGCACAAGGCATGTCTATACAAATGGTTTTGGCTATGACTTAAAGGTGTAACAACTTTAAATCTTATGTCCGAGAATTTGCGCGCTTGTTATGTTTGGAAGAGTGGAAACGAAAGAAAGAAAATATAAACGGAAAGAAATCTCCACTTCTTTGAAAAGAGAAGAGAAAGTTGGAAAGAAGGAAATAGAAAGAAAGTTTTCTATAAGGATCCACATTTATTAATTTTTCCTATTTGAAGACAGCTAATTTACTTATAAAATTACAATTTTTATCTACAATAAAAATAACGATCAATTAATCAAATATAATGAATGCAAATAGTAAAAAAAATTAAGAAAAAGAGCAAAAATATTAATAAAGTTCAAGTTGAGAAAGTCAAAGTCTGAATGGATGGAGTAGCTAGTAAGCCGAGAGAGTTAAAGTCCAAACAGATAGAATTTTAAGTGATATCTGATTTATGAATGGAAGAATTTTGTGAGAGAGATTTTAGAGATTTAATTTTACTAAAGATAAAAAAGTTAAAATTCTTCTCAAAATGATATGAGTTTTGTATTTATAATAAATTGAAAATAATTTTTTATCATTAAAATTATGTTAATTACATCATTCATATTTTAATAGTTAGATTTGAAGCGAAAAAAATTGAATTCTTTTGAACTAAAGTGTTTTACCTTGTTAAGAAAGGCCAATGCCGAATGAAGTCCATCCTGTACAAAATTACTATCACATTTTTTTTATTATTATTTTAAATAAAAAAAGTATACCTTCTCTTCATTTTCTGTCCATTCCTTTTCATCTCCCACGGTATGGATCCATTAGTCAACCTATAGCCGCTTGTTAGATGCAAAAAATCTGTGTTTGAGCCAATGAAAAATGTTCTCCATGCATGTTTGTCTACTCGTGCAGGTAAGTCTGCCCAATGGGGAACGAAGTGGAAAGAAAGTGGATCGAACGAAAATTTGGAAAAAGAAAACGAGGTGAAAGAAAAGTCATTTCTTTTTGCAATGGTATCTTCTAGGGGTGCGTCCAAATCGATTGCTCCTGTCTGCATTATTAAGACCTTTCTCAGCAAATAATAATTTCACTGTACCGATAAACTCTAGTTTACTGATTATGTGGTTTATTTATTTTATTTTATTTTTTTGTTTTACAATTGTAAAAAATTTCGAGTTAAATTTTTTCAATTGAATTTAAATATATTTTATTAAAAAATAGCTTCAATACTAATTTATTTATATTGTGGAATCAATTTAGTTTGTTATAATAATATATATATTTTTTATTTTCTAACTACTTATTGTGAAAGAAAAAAATAACAACAACTATAGGCACTTGCTATATATTTTACACGTGAGTAATTTATGATTTAAATTATAAATTAGTATTTTTATTATAAATAAATAAATTGATTAACTCTTCTTATTTTTTAACATCTAATTTGTTTAATTTTTCAATTAATATTAATCATGCTTAATTTAATATTATTTTTTGAAAAAAATATCATCTTTTCTCATCTCTCCCATATTTTTCATTTATTTTTTATTCAAAAAAATAAAAATAAATTATAAAAAATGAAAAGGATTAAATTATTAGAAAATATATAAAAAATAGAGACCAAATGATTAATTTTTTAAATAATTAATTTATTTTTATAAACTAAAGGGACTAATGCATAATTTACTTTAATTTATGAGAAATTTTCAAGTTCTCATCTAGTGAGAGAGAAAAAAAAAAAAAAAAACTATGGGCACTTGCTATACATCTTACACGTGAGTAATTGATGAGCAATTTTCAATTACCTTAGGCACGGAAAGAAGTAACGTATTCTCTCAATCATAAACTTGCCGAAAGGGGCCTCAGCCTGTCATGTTTATACTACAAGACAAACCTAATACTATTATGTGATTGGACAGTAAGTTACATGGTGGAAGCAATCGAGTGGGGCTAGCATTAGCCTCAGGGACAAAAAGTGGTGACTAGAAACCACGTTGAAAAGCCCAATCAGACAATGCCACGTGTAAAAACATGGGACCTATATGAGTTGGTCTAGATTTGGTGGAGCTCTGCTTGCCTTTTTCAAGTGCCAAACCTAACACCAAAAGCCAAAGGGAAAAGGGCCTTTTCTTAAGAGCAGAAAGCTCCATAAACAAAGTAAGTAATCCCATTTACTAGCTTTTGTTTAGTATTCTTTTGCTTAATTGTCCTTTGTGTTTGCTTGTTTTTTAAATACAGAGAAGGGCATGTGTTTTTTCTTTGATGGGTTAGTAATATTTATGTCCACAGGCTATTTCATATTTCTGATGATTTGTCTGATATGCATGAAATGGCAAAAGTTATGCATCATTACTGCTAGGAAAGAAAATATTAAAGATGGATTCTCTTATGATCATACGCCTTATAACAATTAATCTAGGCCTGGATCATTATCAAAATCGTATACTTGGTTGAGGGTGGAAAATGGAGCTAGAGAAACTAACAAAAAGAAAATAAAGGGGTAACAAAAGAAATGTGCGTGGAGACTGATTAATGATAGAATAAAGAGTACTTCTCTCAAGCCCTCTCCAACCAAAATCTAAAGTGAGTTTTAGACAGATCGTTTTCTTAAGGACAAAAAAAGAAAAAAGAAAAAAGAAAAATTTATGGTCCTCTGGCTGTTAATTTGCTACTAATCCAAGACTTTACCTTCGAAAACCTAGTATCAACTTTGTGAAAACAAGGCTCCAACAACTAATGTATCATTTATGGAAAATCTTTTATTTGTTTTTTTTTTTTTAATTGAAAATCTTGTATTTTGATGTCAAGCATATCTTTTCAGTATCATAATACATGGTTAGTTTTCACGGAATTAAATGGTGATATATTTTCGTTAGACCTTTCCGTAATTAGCTCTTGTAGTAAATCCTTAAATTAATAGACCTTGAATTATTTATTTCTGATTGAAATTCAAGACTAAGTTTATATGATAATCAAATATTAATGAATGATATCATCGTGATGAAATCAAAGCAATTTGGATTAGGAAATTTTTCGTTGCTTGATTGTAGTAGTGACCCATACCTACTTTGGCAATGCCAACTTTTGATGTATGAATCTTGACAGAAATCAATACATACATACGGTAGATTCCTTTGCATTATTATTATTTGTTTGACAAAACTTTATGCAAGCAATCAAACAGTAATCTCACCGCCCAAGCTGCCACCACCACTCGACTTCGAAAGAAATGCAAATGCATGTTAAAGTCCCATCAATACAATAAAAATCTCTTTCCCTATATGGTAGGGTACATCGTCATCAAGATGTTGATATTCAATTATCATAAGAAGAAAAAAAAATCCCAAATCATGACCTCAAAGTAGGTGAGCTCTGCTTAAAAGGATTGGCCTAAATTAACAGAGGAAACTCTAATTTTTTAAATAAATAATTTTAAATTCAAATTTTTATTTATATAAATATTTTTTAAAAATAATTGTGCTCGTTTTGTATATGTAATTGCGTAAAGAGAGATTAGTCTAAGTTTTTTAACCGAACATATCCTGAAGATCAAAAAAAAAAAAAAGTAGGTGGGTCCTCATACATGCCAGTCTCTTCTGTGTTGCTGATTCATCACAGACAATGATCCTAAATAAATTCAGACAATATTACAAGTTGGTTTTCTAACGAAATCACTGTAATATTCAGACATGTCGTCCCTGCATCCATCAGAGCTGGAATCAGGCGCTACAGATTCTGTAGCCTCCTCTCCTCGGTCCGATTACCACGCGTCTCATGATCCACGCGTGCGCTTAATGTGCAGCTTCGGAGGCAAAATTCTCCCCCGCCCGCACGACAATCAGCTCCGATATGTTGGTGGTGACACTCGCATCGTTGCTGTCCACCGCTCTACAACTTTCTCTACTCTCATCACCAAATTATCAAAATTGTCAGGTACTAAATTTGTTCAAAGCATTTGATAAGAAAAACAAAAATAAAAACCAAAAGTTCAATTCTATATCGTTCTGATTGGTTTATAAAAATGAAAAAAAAAAAAATGGGTATTGTTTGTTTCAGGAATTGTTAACTTGAGTATCAAGTATCAACTACCAAATGAAGATCTTGATTCTTTGATATCAGTTTCTACTGATGAGGATGTTGACAACATGATGGATGAATATGATCGTGTTTTACATAATCTAAATCCACGTTCAGCCCGGCTCAGGCTATTTTTGTTCTGTGCAACAGATGAGTCATCAAGAGCAAGTAGTATTAGTTCACTTCTTGATGGATCAGCTAACCGTGAAAACTGGTTTTTTGATGCTCTTAATTCGGGCCCCAACAGGCTTGAACGTGGAAGGTCTGAGGCTTCTTCAATTGTTTCTGAAGTACCAGATTATCTTTTCGGGTTGGAGAATTCGGATGACACCAACATTCCTCGTGAACCCAAAATGAAGTCTCGATTCGTTTTGAATGATAATGTTTCAGTTTCTGATCCGGGTTCTCCTGCCCCGGTTGTTTCTTCACCATATTGCTCAACTTCATCAGTTGTGCCCACCGTGCCTGCGATTCCGGATCTTCCACCCGTCAGGACCAAACCCGATACCGTAGAGACGGTAAAGCAGAATCCAGTTGACGGTTATTCTGAGCCAACTGAGACACCACCAATCACGCAGCCAGCCGGGTATCCGGGTAACCCAGTCATGCATTATATTCAGGAATCTCGTTATTCAGGTGCTCCAGTACAACAAATGCCGGTTTATTATGTTCAGGGTACGATTCCACCGGGGAATGTTCCGGTTCAGCCCGTTCAAATCCGGCCTCAATATGTTCAGCAATACCAAGTCCCAACAAGTCAAATGCCAATGGGGTACCACCAAGCTGTTCAGGGTATGGGTCAAGTATATAGTGGGATGGCACTGAGGCCCGTTGCGGCAATGGATCGGTATGATGGTGGAAGAGTGGTTTCAGATGGGATGAATCAGCAGGTTTATTACGGCGTTCGGAATGCAAGTACGGGTATGGTTCCAGGGTATCCGGGTATGGGTATGCCGGGTGGGGAGGATTTGAAAAGGACAGCATCTGATGTAAACCCGGGTAGACGCTCCCAATAAATAATACATAGTAGGCCTGGTTGTGTAAATTTTGTGTTTTGGCGGACAATGAGCTACAAATAATTGGCAATTTTTGTTGTCTTTTTTTATTTTTTTTTTCCTCATTTTGTTTTGTGAAACAGTGAATGATTTGGAATAAGCTGTGTATAAGGTGAGATATATTAATTTTCTATATAAAATTAGTTTTCTTTAATGGGTTATAAATTTTCCTAGTATATATGTTATTGGATTGCTGTTTGTACGAAATTTTTTATGTTTCCTAGAATAGTTGATTGCTGGATTTAAACATAATTTATGGGCTTGAATTATTGGGCTATGCAGTGAGGCATTCCTCCTTGCACCAGCCTTTTCTTCCTCTCGTTTTAGGCATGTGTAGGATAATAATAAATCTTTGGGGACTACTTTTTTCTTCTTAACAATATTTTGGGATCACTTTGTGTAATTTTATTATATCAGATAGGGGTGAGCACTACTTTTTTCTTCTTAACAATATTTTGGGATCACTTTGTGTAATTTTATTATATCATTTAGGGTTGAGTACTATTTAGTTAAAATTGAATCGAACCGAATCGAAGTAACAATTTTGATTCGGTTTTGTATAAAAAATTTGAAAAAAAAATCAAAACTGAAAACTAAAGTTATTTTGATTCAGTTTGGTTTTATGGAAAACTGAATTAGTGTTTTTTTTTAGCACACACCCAAGGTTTTTAACATTTTTTTATGATTTTCTTTGTTAAAACTTCAATTTAAGCTATTAGCATTCCTTGAAAATAGGAAAAAAAAATTACAAAAAAGTAGTCTTTTAGCTTGGTCTAATAGAAAATTCAAAATTCAGAAAAAAAAAAAGATGCAATATATATATAGTTTTTAATTGAAAATCGAAAAATCAAACCAGAAAATTTGATTTTTTAATCGAAAAACCGAACCTCAATATGATTCTATTTTGGTTTTTATTTTAATCAATTCGGCTCATAAAAAAAAAATCAAAACTAAATTAAAAAACCGAATGATCACTTTTAATCAGAGACCTTTGGAAATGGATGCTGGCTCAATCCTAAACATTCCATCAAGTGATGAACTAAGCGAGGTCTAGCTCTTGGTATTTTGTTTTTCAGGGTTAAATTATTTGATGTCTAATTTTTTTTTTTTTTTTTTGGGACAATCATCAAATAAATTACAGCTAGCCAAAAAAAATAAAAATAATAAAAATAAAGAAGAGATACTGAAGAATATAAGAAATTATTTCCTTGATGCTTGATGGTCTTAGAAATAGTTGTTTTTTTTTTTTCAAATGTTCAATAAAATGAAACTAAGAGTAAATTATAAACTAGTCTTTCTAGTTTTACAAAATAACTTAAATACTTATTGTTTCAAAAACTAATTAATTAATCTTTTAATAATATTGATCGTGATTAATTTAATGTTACTTTGTTTCAAAAAAATGTTTTTTTCTTATCAATCTTTTTATATTTTTTACTTATTCTTTTTTTTTTCAATTTTTTAAATAAAATAAATTGAAAAGAAATGAAAATGATTAAGTTACAAATAGATTTAAAAACATAAAGATCAATTAATTAATTTTTAAAACAAGAAGGGATAATATATAATTTACACCTGAAACTTGTATCTCTCAAGCAAGCAACAAATAAATAAACAGATAAATAAGTAGTGAGACTAGCTAGATTATTAGAAGAGAGATTTTAAGGACAAATGGTAAAATTCTCTGAGATTTCACCATGAGCATATGGCCTGAAAAATCCAGGTTAGATGCCTGAAAATCCTGGATATCACTGGATTGTCAGGCTTTATTCTCGAGATGAAATCTTCCAAAAAATAAATTATTATTTTTCTGTATATGGTGTAAAGAGTACTACCCTATATATGGTGTCAAAAAAGGACCTGATTTTTTTCTTTATAGATGGGCCTGGAAGCCCACCAGTCTGATCAGGTGTAAAGGTTTAGTTAAATATAGAATTCTTATGCGGTCATGATCAAGCAAATAATAATGATAATGATAATAACGAATATATTTGTAACCTCGTTAAGTTCAAAACTTCCTGATTTAGGGTTCAATATGGGCTGAAAATAGTCCATGAAAGTTGGAGCCTAAGGTCCAGCAAAAACAAATGCATGGTCATAGTCTCGCAACATAAGTGGGCTTACAACTGGGTCCATGAGTGAGAACAGGACTCTTCAAATTTTTATCCAGACCTACAACAGATCCCTCTTAGGTGCACGAACCATATTGGTCAAAATAAATATTCATCCATATGATTAAATATGAATCCAACATAAATTTTAATCAAGATTAAATTTATTATTTTTAAAATTAAATCAACATCAAAATATGATTAGTTTTTAATCAATTATTGAACTATTTCTTAAATCAAACTAATTCAAATTTAATATCACTAAACGATAATTACAACTAATTATATGAGAATATTGAGAATTCATTTTTGGTTTCAATCAAACTAAAATAATCATCTTATTGTTTGACTACATTTTTAATGGTAAACATTGCATAGTGTTAAATTTTCTACCGTCCAAGATAACTCCAATCTCATGTATTTTTTTTAAAATAATAATTAAATGCCAAATAAAAAATTAATACCATATATGGATTATCATGTATTTTTTTAGTTTTTGTTTTTTCCTTAATTATTAGAAATCATTTTGTTTGTCTTTTTGATTAGGACAATTTTTTTTTGACTAAATAATTAATGATATCTACGCATGACAACATGAATGCATGTCATCTACTGGATGGGGGAGCTTTTGTTGTCTGGGTAGTACGATTTTTTGTTGATTTTGAATTTTTCAGCATAACGTTTTGATAGGACAGAAAATAAGCCAACGGTTCTCGCACACAGCACTACGTGCCATGCATGAGTAGCCAAAGGGGCATAAAATAATGGTGACAATTTCATGATTTTGTCTCAAACACAGACCAGATGAAGAGAGAGCTTTACTTTGACTGTCTTACACAATAAGAACGTTAATAATGATGCTACTATCTGCATGGGGTGATGGGCGTGCAACCATGCACTCATACTCTCACATGCATGAATGTCTCTGCCAGTTAAGCCTCGCCAATTTTCTCTATTCCCTTGAAAACAACAACATAAAACACCCAAACCAGCTATACTTTTCTCTAAAATCATACCAAGAAATGACATACAGATATAGTTAGGCACAAATATTAGAATATATGAAAGATGCATCTGGAAAGAGAGGGGGAGCGCCTGAGAGACAGAAAAGGAAAAGCAAAAGTTTATTGGTCTCCCAATGAGTGTAAAATGGGGATTTCTACCAGCTTTAGGGCTTTCTCTTGTATCAATGAGCAGAAGAGAATCCACTGGGAGCGCAAAGAAGAAAGACACTCGATAGGAAATTAAAGTAATGAAAGAACAAATAAAAGGCAAGATGTAACAAAAGGTACATTCTCTAGGCTAAATTAAGGTGGGTCAAGATTAAAGCTAACTTGGATTATTCTCGATCGCTATCTTCTTACGTCTTCCTCATCAAATCCTACTTTTTTGGTTTATCCTAAATATATAGAAAATGATATGACCTCTTGCATTATTCAATTGATTTTATTTTATTTTTCCATACAAACATATAAGGTTGCTAAATCACGTGGTGTCTGAGTAATTTTGTTTGAATAGTACTAACTGTTGATTTCATATTACACTAAACGAAATTTCCTTTTGTATTAGCAACTTGGTTATTAACAGGTGAACCTATCCAATTTGGAGAAGTAGCAAGTTAATTATAGATTTTGCTAACTATATATATAGAACTTGACATTTCCAACATAAAGGATGGTTATATGCTCTGTAATCCTTTAACGATTCATCTATAACGAATAGCTTAAGATATAGGGTCGAAATAATGAGGGAATAACTAGTGTAAACGCGTAACATTTACGTTTTAGATATTTATATATTGTGTTGATAGTCTACTATTTTAATATTCATAAACATTCTTTTAATTTTCAAATGAAAGGTTGATCCAAAAATCAAATAAGTTGTTTGTTTATTAGCAAACGAGTTTTTTATGCGAATTTCTTATCAATATACAAGGTTTAAAGTTTGAAATTATATTTATTAAAAATGATTAAATCTTATTATTTTGATTTTGAACAAGATTAATCTTATTTTTAACGTAGATGAAGATATTAAAAAAAAAAATGTTGATCAAATAACTTAAATATGAGCGAGAGAGATATATATATATATATATATATATATATATATATATATATATATATATATATATGTCATATATTACCAAGTGATCATTCATACCAATTTAATTTTTTAATGATAAGCAATCTATTAAATCACTAGAACCTTTGACAGAATTCACCGCTGGACATGAAAGTGCAATTAATGATAGTGAAATGATATGGATATTAAGTGCACCAAAAGAAATGAGATGATTTGAATATTAATAGGAATGATTTTAAGGTAAGGTGTTGATGAAAGAAGAGCTTCTGCCTTCTAAGCTGCCAATGATTTTTTCACCTTTGTTGCAATTATAATGCTTATATGCTCTCTGCGTGTCCTCAAGATGAATAGAAACTTTTTTCAAATGGTTTGACCATAGTGCAATGATGATTGAAGACTACAATGATAAAAGAGGCCTGAAGGCACAGCCCACTCAGAGGAAAAGGCCAAAAGGGAATTGTTTGAGACTGTCTAATTATTAAGCCTTCTTTTTCTAATATGTGCATGTTTATTGTTTTCCTTAAAAAAAAAAAATAAAGTTTCTCTTATTTTTCTTCGTTTGAATCCTCTTTAAAAAAGAAAAAATCCCTCTCAATTTCTAAAAAGATCTAGGATTCTGACAGCATCAACTAATAACATTACAAATGAAGACTTTGAAATTCTCTCGATTTTGGTCTGAGTTGGTCAATATACATTTGAAGAGGGAAAAAAAAAGGAAAAAGAAAAATAATATTGAGCCGGATTGACCATGCTAGTTAATTAGTCACT